TACTACTACTACTACTACTACTACTACTACTACTACTACTACTACTATACTCCTACTCCTACTCCTACTCCTCCTCCTCCTCCTCCTCCTACTACTACTACTACTACTACTACTACTACTACTACTACTACTATACTCCTACTCCTACTCCCACTCCTACTACTACACTACACCTACACCTACTACTCCTACTGCTCCTGCTCCTGCTCCTGCCTGCTCCTGCTGCTCCTGCCTGCTCCTGCTGCTCCTGCTCCTACTCCTACTCCTGCTCCTACTGCTGATGCTACTCCTACTGGTACTCATTCTCGCACTACTGCTACTGCTACCACTGCCACGACTGCCACTACTACTACCACTACTACCACTACCACCACTGCTACCACTACCACTACCACCACTACCACTACCACCACTACCACTACGACTACGATTACTACTACTACTGCTACTACTGCTACTGCTCCTACTACTACTGACCACTTTTGAGCAGGCGGTGCCAGATTTCATGCTCGAACTCCTAGACCACATTTGAGCATGAGAGCCAAAACCCCCAAACTGTGCCCGTCAGTGACATACCCATCCATCTTCTTTGAGTTTGGCATGACACATGTTTCTACCATGCAGGCGGCACCCCAGATTGGGCTCCGACTGGTCCCCGGTGACGGTGCCTCCACGTTCGCCAAGAAGGCCTTGGGCGATCGATGCTGTTGTCCGTAGGCGAAGACATTAAGCTGAGGTGTAGGTTTTTGTTTGCAGAGGGAAGCTGTACATGTGGATGTTGAAATATTTGAATAGAGATAGAATAGGCAATCACTGGTCAGATGCCAGAAAAAACAGGAGAGGAACACCGATGTATACTCATGTGAAATCGTTGGATTTGTGAAAAATTGCCAACGGAGCTCGGAGCACTGAAGTTTTTCTTGAGGAAAAAATCAATTTTCCTTCTCCATGGAGATTGTGAGGGTATACCGCATACTCCATCAGAACACTTGGAGCAAACAAGTCCCAGACGGCATGCTTTGGGTAACTTCTAACCTCCATGCGTGCCACGGTCTACATATATATATATATATATACTTGTCCAAACGCGTACATGTGGTTGTGTATTTTAGTATATTTTAATATGGAGCCCCCAACCAAAGGGTTTTTGGTCTATTTCCTTGCTTCCATGAGGTCTTTGGGAGGTCCCTTTTTTAAAATACACACCCGTGTGACAATGTGGTTATAACGATGGTCATCCACTTAAGTAAGACTTTGGTGCAGCCCCAATAAGGGCTTTGTTAAAGGTGCGCTGACCATCCTCCACACAAGGAGGTTGACGGCGCATATGCGCTGCTGATGGAAGAAGACCAGCTCGACCAACGTTCTGTTTTGGGCAGTCCTGTGTTTGAATCCTTGCCCCTTCTGTTTGTTTGGTCTCTTCTCGCACTCGAAAACGCACCCGTCATCGTCGTTCCAACGCCGCGTTCCCCGCTGCGAACACAGGGGACATTCCTGGCGGAGCTGTCCAAAGCCTCCCCGGTGGAGTTGCTCCTGCCGAAGCTCACTGAACTTCTGGGCGGGGAGAGATGGACCGGTTGGGCGCTGGGGTGGTGTAGCGGATGGACGCGAGCCGCGGGTGACCGGTTGGTGTGCAGATTTGCGCTGTCCCAGGAAAGGGAGTCGACCCAGTTCAGTGGTTGAAAGGGGTGAAACCTTTGGCATGTTTCTCGGAGGGGTGAGGTTGTTAGACTCGTTAGGACATGTTAGGACTCTTTTCCATTGATGGTTGGCTGTTGCTGATGTTCTCAGCTCAGTTTCCCCACAGGGTGACAACTGAGATGATTTAACTTTGCACTCCGAGAAGCTTTGGGCGAACCCTTCGTCTCTTTGGGACGCGCCACCGATACCGAAGTCCCCGGACCGCTGATTCCCAACGACTGGGTTGGGCAAATCGGTTGGTCGTTCCGAGTCGTTCCCACTCCTGGTCTCCGGATGCCGGATGGCAGGCGTGCCTTGTAATGCCGCCTGGGGCCCCAGTGGACCCCCGGCCCGGACGGATCGGGGAGACTTCATGGAGCAACGTCTTCGCTTCTGGAGCCACATGGTGTATCTCTTTAAAGCCCGAAGGCTCCTAGACCAGTTGAGCGACGGCATAAAGTTCCCTGTTCATGTTTAGTGGTGGGCTTTAGGGTTTAGGGTTTTGGGTATCTTTTGGTATCTTTTGGTGCTTTCCTTTGACTTGGTTTTCTTTATTGGAAACCCTTGAGACTCCCCGGACTTGGAAGATCTTTGAATTAACGGATTCTCTTCCTGTTGTGCTGTCCAGACCCCAAAGACAAGTCGAGAGGCCCACGACTGGTACTTGTTTTCCTCTTCCGTCTCATCATGACGGTTTCCAACAACAGGAAGAGTCTTGCGAGCTTGGAACCATGGTCATTGATATAGCGGCCACATGCTTCAAGAATCCTTGATCCATCTTGATCCTTTGTCTTGGTCAACTCACTCAGCTGGATCCTTTTTTGCGCATCGAACCGTAGCTTGGCCAGTTCAAGCTTCACGATGCCTGTGGGGAGGATGGGTGGTGAGTTCAAACAGACGCATCCAGCCGAGCCGCATCCGAGACAGGACCCTCTTGTTTGTACCCAGCCCACGACTTACTTAAAGTAATCGACCGAATCATCCAGACAGCATGGTCCAGAGAAGTTCCCATGCTGAGAAACCCGTGCCCAGTGTGTTTCGGCACCCCGCAATCGAAGCAAAACACATCCTGTTGTTCGTTCCTTCGTCTCGTTGCGGAGCGTCCGCTCCATTTCGGCGACCGGTGAGCTTCTCGGGTCGTGCTCGGACCAGGTGACTCTGATGCATGAGGGTCGCACGCTGGACACGGAGAAGAGCCTCACGGAAAACGCGACTCGGAGCATGTTTCGTTGTGCGACGAGGGGCGGGGGGGAAGATGGTAGTGAGTGCTGGTCCGCAAAGAATTGGGCAAGCTTTGGATGCGGACATGCTAGATTTAGTTGGGTTGAATCAAGATCATCGAATGGAGGAGTAACTCGGCAGTTCTCCTCGTCCTTTTGGAGATTGAGTGCCCGGCGCCTCGTCTTGGTGCCGTTCTCATTTGCTGGAGATTAAAATTTGTGCCATCAAGGGGTGTCACTTGCTAGTTCCGTGAGTTCCGTGTTCACTCAATGTAGTTGAAGCTTGAGACTTCAAGAATCGAATGACATGTTTGGGGGATTTGCAACGCAAACCTTGACATTAATGAATGCCCATTGGAAATTGTACTTACTGTACAGTAAGTCTGAAAGGCTGCTCCACTGGTAAGCTGTTCCCCAAAGGTGGCCCAGAACCAATCCATGGCCTTAGCGTCTCTATGTCTCGAGAATCTCACTCTTCCCGAGAAATCTTCCTCTATCGTGAGCTAGTTGTGTTTCATCGTTGCATAAACTAGTGTATCGAAAGGATCTATGCATTGACAAGTAATGACTCTGTTCAATACTTTAGTAATCATTGAGGTCTTTGTACCTTACTTCAAGGTCTTTGTTCACTTCTACCACACAACTCCAGAAAACGAACGACATGGCCCCATGTGTCGTAACAGGTTCTTTGTCCGGAATATGTTTTGGAAGTTAGACCCCAAGCTTTGGGCTCTGCCTGCCTGGTGGCCCAGGAGATCACGATTCCAGGAGCCCGTGCACGACGGGAAGGGGAGAAGGTGCTGCTTTGTTTCGACACGAAGCCTCCCGGCTGCGTTCGCCACCCGGGGGTGTGGTGGCGCCGCTCGCGTGGTGCGCAGAGAAAAAGAGCATGCCGGAGCGGTCGGAGCACCGGTGTCGTGCTGAGTCGGGGAATCCGATCAAGACTGAGCGTAGCACCAAGCAAGTGGTCTCAGAGGTCACAACGAGAAACATGGTAGTTTGGTAGTCTGGTATGATATGGTATGATCTTAAAGGGGTCATTTTGTTCAAGCTTTCTCACCAGTGGGGGGGGCGTGTGTCACCTTTGGTCCTTTGCCTAGGTGGTCGAGTGGTCTCGAACTGAGGTTTGACGTGATGCAGGGGGGTGGAAGAGGAGAACAAGAAACAAAAAGAGGCGCGTTATCATGCATGTACCTAGATGTACCTAGCACTTCCAACAGGTGGTCAATGGAGACCTGTAAGTAGGGTAGGGTAGTCTATTGGACACCCATTGGATGATCCTGGTATATTTTTTTGCTGTCCGGCCTCCAGCTTCCTGCTTCTGTAGGGTGTCTTTGGGCTCGGCAGGGGGGGTTCACTTCTTTGGGTTCTTTTTTGCTTGGCTTAGGGATTCGCTTCTTGAAGAGCTTGTCCGGCTTTCTTGCCTCGGTTGTTTGGCTTCGGGCTTGAGTCATTTAGGCCAAACATATTACGATTCTGTTGTGTTCAAAAGGTTCAATCTCGAAGTTGTATCTTTGCTTATGCCACAGACTGGTACCAAATCGTGAGGCAATGTTCTAGCCACTCTATGCCGTGTTCGACCTGATTTTTGGAGCCTTTGAGGCCGAGGAGGAAGAGCAAAAAAAGGCAACTCCGCTTGCAGCTGGAGCAGCAGAGCCTCGGAGATGCACAAGTATAAGAACAGTGCAGACATGTCGTGGTCTATTGTGACCTGTCTAACCTGGCCTTGGCTTGTCCGCAAGTACACAATAAACATCAATAAACCAGTGGTTGGCTGTGTGGAAGCCTAGAGTCCAAACCTATCCTCCCGAACGATTGGATTGGTGGACCATGTCTGTTTAGGCGTCCCGTTCTGTGCATGAACAGGCGCCCGACGCGGGTCTGCATGCATTCCGTGGTTTCCCGTGCCAAAACGATCTTCTCCGGGATTCGCCTAGTAGTTTCCCATCCACACTTCTTCCAAGTTGCAAGTTGACGGGTCCGTGTGTGAACATTCTCAATCGAAGATTAAACAAAGCACCACGACTCCACTTTGAGGGATCTCATCAGATTGTGGTGCGATCTTGTGGCAATCCACAGGATGGTCAATCCACAGCACGGATGGCACTGCCGGATGGGTAAGGTACTGGGCATGGCAGCCATGCGCTACCCACTCGGGTGGCCAAGTCATTAACAGAACCGCTCGCCCAATTGACGGCTGCTCTTCTACATGTTGCTCGTGGTGGGGTGTGCAGCACAGGGGCCTCCTGCTCTTGGTCTCGCACATTTTTGACCAGCCCTCGGGGACCTCCGAAATCAAGCTCTTGAACGTCGGACGGACGAACTCTAGCGTTACGCCTGCAGGATGCGAGAGAAGAAGGCTCGTGAGGTGCGTCCGGTCGTGGCGAAAGAACTAATCCATCAGTCACAACTGGCTAACACATTTCTCCGACCATGTCTCCCTTATTTCCGCTGGGTTTTGGACAATCATCCCGGCCCAACTCCAATCACTCTCTCCCGAACCCTTGGTTTCGTGGCCGCTCCAAAAAGGAGGATTAATTCCGGGGAGAAGAGAACTATGAATCATCTAGGCCACATCCCATGATGATGTATTTGTGACTACAGTATAGTTTTCAGTCAACCTTCCGTGACTAAAGCTCGGCTCCATCAGATCAACCATGTTGCCTTCCCTCTAAGAAGACATCCTCTAAATTCTCCAGAAGAAACGTAAATGGCCAAACATCACTCCAAACACTGATACATCTATTATAGTTATATAGTGTATTGATATAATATAACAGTATCAACAGTTATTATCATGTACTGTCTTATGCGCAATAGTTCACTGCCGAAATTAAGGCACTCACCGAGTGGGTGAAGGTTGGGTCCATGCCTCCGGCTGCGATACGGAACCTCGTACATGTCTCTGTTCAGCTCAGTTTCTGATTATGTTCCTGTTTGATTGAGCTCAGAACTCAATGCCATGAGTCGCCCCCTTTGGACAGCTGCTCTTGCAGGAAATAGAGCGTGAGGAGGAGCGTCACAAGAAAGCGAATCGTGCCAACGAGCTCTTCGAGGAACAAATCGCTACACAGGTGCGTCGTGCACCCCGGCGCAGCCCTGCCATTCCCCCTGCAGGGCCCTGTCGATTCAAAGCGTGTTCGGTCCACCCAATTGGGCGTGTATCAAGCTAGGGAGACCTCCCTAGAACCTCCTTGAGGAGGACAGCCATTGACAAAAGCCGTTGGTTGAGAGTCCGCATCGAAATCCACCTCCCGTCCTCCCGTCCGACCGAGTCCAGCGGCTGCAACGGTCAGGTGGGCGTCAACCGTGAACAGTATGAGTTGATTCTTCGAAACCCTGACCCAGATGTGAAGAAGCCCAGGCGGGGTGAAGTCAGACTATGAAAAAATGAGTGCGGGTCAAACCATGGTATACGCGGACATCCCTGTGCCTGTGGAATCGGGTCATTTTCAGGGTGCCTGTGCCTGGGTTTGGACCCACATCCAAATTAAATCTCAAGTTGGACATGTTGAAGCATCTCAACTCGTATCTTGTAGTTACAGGAAAGCTGTTGTTGAATTTTGACTCTACATGCATACAGTCTCAGGCACTACGTACAAATTGTTGTTAACGGGGTGAAATTTTTCTTCGAGGTGTAAACTCCTGTGCTAAAGTTTCACGGTGAGCTTGTCTAGGATTACGAGACCTTCTCCAAGAAGAAGGTCTACATTTCTCATGTTGTGTAATGCTTTTCAAAGCCAGGACTTGGGTTTGTTTGAGGGGTACCATACATTTACACAATATATATATACATATAATGTAGACTCTTGATTAATAAACCCCCCCATATGAAGAGCATGTCCAATTAAAATGGGATGGTTTATTAATCAATAGTATACATTTTATATTTGTTACCCCCCCAAAGATCTGCCATCTTTGCTTGGTGCATGCATGTCTGACTCAACATTACAGATCTACAAACAGCAAAGAACAAACAGAGAGTTGAGATGATATTTTAGGTGTTATTGTGGCATATTGTGGCATTGATTGAGTAAAATGTTGTTTGATACAAAGAAAGGGAAGGATACCTTTTTTTGTTGATTTTGTCTTTATGATTTTATCGAGAGAGACCTCAAAGAGCTCGGTATCAAACAAAATCCATCCTTTACACATCAAGAAGTTTAGTAGTTCACTGTCAGCTTTCACAATTGAAATGCGACCATTAAAGCGACAGACGTCCTAAGGATCTTACTTGCAAGAGAACTTTCGGATGGGAAATATGCAGAAGAAATACCAAAGTTTCTGAAACACAATTCTCAATATGAGAATATAAAGATAACTGTTTAGTGATGATAAAGAAGGACTTACAATGTATTATGACAACCAAGGCTGTATCAAGATCAAGACAGTATATACGGTATATAGAGCAAATAACGGAGAACAGTGAACAAATGAACGTATTCAATGAACAATTGACAGATGCAACTAGAGTAGATGTCCAGCACTATTCTGATCCATTCGGCAAACACATCTTTCTAAAGCAGATGCTGCAGACATAATTCAAACAGGGCATTGAACAAGGCCACTAACATAGATAATGTATGCTGGAGGAATGCATCAATGGAGTGGGAAAACTTGAAAGAGGCTTTTAATAGGAACAAATTAGTGAGACGATAGGCAGAGATTAGTCTACTGAAAAGGGGGCATCCATTAAGGACATGACCAGGGTATAAATTGTTGTGCAAATATGTTCCACACAAAAGAATCCATCGCATTGGGACTTGTTTGCAATCTTTAACACATTTTAAAACCAACCATATCATATCTATGTGTTTAATCCATGAGCTACAGAAGCAGGAAATAAAAATAGCAAAAGCTCCCTGACTAGTAGGTCAATGAAAGGGAAGAACACCCTAAATACAACATGATTGACGACACGTTTATAATTGAATTGCCTAAGGATTGTCAGGTCAGTGGATATTTTTTAGTGGCAAGAGACAATGATTTAACCAAATTGTTGTTTGCTTTGTCATATAGTGGTTATGAAGTTTATGAAGTAGGTATTAAACAAGCAGGGGTTATAGTTGAACTAAAACCAAAGGTTAACAACGTCACATATACAATCAAACACACAGAACCTAGTTAAAACGACGGTTGATGGTTGCATTACAGTTGAGGGTGAAGACACTTGAAGACACTTAGGACCAAATGAACCTAGCAATGTATAGGTTCAACAAGGCATTATATATTTAACTGTTTCTTCTTAGGTCATACTATGCAGGCATCGGCATTGATATTAACATATTGAATGCCCTGTGGAATGAGTAGTGGCCTGTGGAATGATATATGCATTCGAAAACATCCCCAAGGCAATCACTAAAATTTATATTGCTAGCAATAACACACCCATTAATCATCATATATAAAACACTTGATTTTTGTCAGTTGCATCAATGGAAAGTATATAAGTATATGTTGGTTTCTAATATACAATGTATAAGTTGAATGACTTTACTTTATTGTATGTAGATAAGTATTTTTTTGACAAATGGTGTAAGGTTGTTCAAAAGAAGATATATATGTATAATGTATATACTTTATAAATCAATAATTGACAGTTTTTTAAAGGATGAACATGTCAAGATACTGGCATGCAAAGAACCCGGTAAAACACACAATGTTGTATATTTACAACTGATGAATATATATATATAACATATTTGATAGTCAAGAAGAAAACAAATCTGGTTAAGCAGTTTATAGGTGTTGCTAACTATGGATTACTGGATAAGGGAGCCTCAACATCCAATCAAGGTTTTCCATTGAAGCATTAAGAAGAAACAATGGAGTACCAAGCAGATTACCGATGCAGGTTATTCATACATTGACATTTATATTAGAACATTGAATGACCTGTGGAGTGCCAAAAAATAGAATCATTGATTTAAACGTTAAACACATGAATTATTATGTGTGTTGTTTTAAGAAACGTACTGTGCATAGAGTGGGGTATGCTCCCCACGTGCATTTGCTCGACTCTATCCCTTGTCTATTGTTTTTCTTCTTGTAGACTGCCAAAACTAAAACCAGAAACCAACAGCACAAAAATATAACTTATGAGAACATTGGTTTCAGCCTGAACGGTTTGTTTGTTTTCATTGAGTTTTTTTCTTGGTGTCCTTTGCAGCTTTTTCCAAGCTCATGGTTTTCTTTGTTGTGATGGTCCGCAAGCAACGCGCTGGCTGCAAGAAATGGGGTAAAGACAGGTGTTTGTGCAAAACCCCGACTAAGAATGTCAAGAACTCGGACAAAGAGATTGTGAAGAAAGCAGTGAAGTGAATGAGTCTTTGACAACCGCGGCTGAGAAAGTGCAGGTGGAGCGGAAGGAATTGCCAAAAAAAAACATACAGGAGGGTCTTTCTTTGAGGGCAAAGGCAAAGGAAAGCTGGAAATTCCCTCCTTGAAGCTTTCGGGCTTTCAGAAGAAATATCACCATACATCCCGTAGCACGAATGAGTGGACAGCTGAGGAGGAATGATGGCGCAGTTGGAAACATGGTGCTAACCACAATGACGCGGAAAAAGCGAGAACGCATTTCCTCAGTGAGGCCCAGCCATGAGCTTATGCTTCTTTATGAACTTGTAATGACTGTTTACAAATATATGGTATATGTACACATCGGAGGTAGCTTTGGAGATAGGAGAAGTCTTGCGAGGAGGACAAGCGTTGGGACAGCATTCGGGGACAAGACGGAGGACAAACATTGCTTGCTAGCCTTGAGGGCACACAAATGGTGGGGACAAATGCTGGGGACAAGTGGGGAAACAAACATATAGGACCAGCCTTCAGGGGTACACAAATGCTGGGGACAAGCCTTGGGGACAAGGGCGGGGACAATGCTAAGGCGTGGGACAAGAGAAAGCAAACCTTGAAGCCAAGCGGACGAAAGGAATGAATTAGGACAAGAGGTCAGGGAACAAGCGCTGGGGGGCAATCAGGCATGAGCAAGCCTGTCTGTCTGCTTGGCAACCAGAAAACAATGCATCCTAAGTGACTGGTGCCTGGATACTCACTGTAACCTAATGTCATCACAGCTGTCGTACTCAAGCTGCTTGTGCTTCATTCTGCTCGCCCACAGAACGTTCTGCCACTGCGTCGATGGCTACGCCAAGGTTTTGCAAGAGAGTGGGGGAGAAAGATGTTTCATTGCTGCAGGATCTTTCGCCTCCACTCTGACTGTCGTAACTATAATTGCTCCAAAAGTTTGAGACGCTGTTCAAGCACCACCCCATCTACAGGCTCATCGTTCCTGACCCTGCTGCTGGCTGACATCTTCGATTCTGAGTCGGTTGCTGAAGGGCTGGAACACAGATTGTCGATCGAGCCTGGCAATTATCAGAGATAGTCTGCATCTTAGTCAAGCTGCGAGGGTTGGCTCCGCTGTCCTGCGCGCACTGGAAGCGCAACAGGGATATGTGGGTGTGTGTACAGGAGAGCTCTTGTCTTGTATGTGCACACCGTCTGCTTCTAGTTGCACCAATTTGCGGAGGTTATATCTTCTGGCTTTCACGACGAACACCAACAGTGCTAAAGTGACATCTGATGGTACTATCTCAATCCCTTGCTTGTACTCTACAGCTTGTTTATAAAATTGACGTAGATATGCATGGGCAAAGCAACAATGGTAGATTTTTTTGGGGTAGCAATTCCATATGACATATCTTCAGCATTGACTTAGGCATGCATGCACCACAAGCAAAAATGGTAGATCTCGTTTTGAGGAGTAACAATTCTATTCCATGCATTTAGTTTATAGTCCGGGGTGGAAATTCCCCCGCCAGAATTCATTGGGAAGGAGAAGTTATTTGCGCAGCTTTTGGGTGGAACGTGTTGCTCTGGTCTCGTCCCCTATGTTTTTTTGACACGGACGTTTTGTTGAACATGCCCTGGTTGCACAGCGCAGTTCGGAAAGGTTGGGGGAACATGGTGAGACATTGATGCTGAGGATAGAACATGGATCAGCATGGGTGTCAGCTGGGGTAGCAGCTAGGCAGCTAGCGTTTATCGACTGGGAAACCCCTCGGATGTACCCGTGACACATCAGGTGAGGACAGAAAAGTGCCTGGGAGGTAAACATGATCACGTTTCGAACAACCCTTGTGGTGGAAAAAACCTTTGTGGTCGAAACACCTATAAGATCTCAACTCCCAAGCTTATTCGTGCAGGACCCTCGGACATAATTGAACGTTCATGTTTTTACGTCTGGTTTCGAGCCTTCGGCTGACAGAAACTGCGCCAGGCATTTCCTGCAGCGCTTAGTGCCTGAGCAGGAGTGACTTGGCAGGACTGCAGTGGAGTTTTTGTTGTGCTTTTGATGCAAGATGCTGATGTGCCCTAGTGTCCCATGTTCCAAACACATCCTTGTGTAGTTAGACCCCTGGCACCGAATGAATCTCCAGGCAGGGGTGAGAGAACTGGGCTAGAAACTCCATGTTGAGATAAAACCCCTCGGACAATGTAGATAGGGCTCTTGAGTATTTGTTCCAACCGAAGTGAGTATGAGTGTTTAGCCCGCATCGCCCAAGATCATGCAGACTGCGGGATTCGGTCCTCAATCTCTTCAGTCCCACTCATGGAACATCCCTGCAGTGAATCTGGTATGTCTAGTTCCGCAGTACATCGGATATTGTAGCATAGATAGCAATTGATGTTTCTCACCTAACCTAGAAAACATTTTTTGGGGGGAACAAACTGGACAACAGTGGTTTGTGCTGTAGATTCTTCAGAACAACTCTCACTTCGACCAAATCCGCGGGGCAGCCGGCCACATCCGGCTCCAGCCTCGGCCACCAGCGTTGGCCTCCATCATCATCAGAGAAGCTTTAAATCGCTCAGCAGTTCAATCCATGCAATAATTCAGTGAATCAACATGAATCAACGATACATGACCAATCATGACCGCTCCACATCATTCTTGGATTCGCTCAAGCTTCTCTATCCATCTATCCATCATTTTTGATCATCCTTTCCGCAACACACGGAAGTCCCGTGCATCCGCTCACCTAGGCGAGCCTTGATGCAGCTCTTGAGCGCCAGCGGCGGGGGCGGAGGGGGCACGGTCTGGGCCTATGAGGTGCACCACCAGGCGCGTTCATCGCACTGTCTCGGGGAGAACATGCGATCCTTAACGCCGGCGGTTGAAGTCGTTGCCTTCGCAAAGCGCGTGAAAGTTTTTATGCGGTGGGGAGTCAACCGAAGGAAGATGGGGAAGTGTTGCAGCATGACTGAACGATTGAAGGTGTTTTTGTGGGTGGGTATGGGTATGGGTATGGGATGGTATGGGTATGAGTTTCTGTCTTTGTGTGGGTGTGCGTGAAATGTTTGAAGCTTTGGTCAGATGTTTGGATGTCATGTTGTGAGTCTTTTGGAAGGGATTCCACAGATTTGTGTTATAAACAGTTCCACAAGACTTGTAGAACTGTTTCTTTAGAGCGTCTTTATTTCACACACTGAGATAATTGCGCAAACTCCAGAGTTTTCGGTTGCACTATGACGTCCGAATTCTGCCAGTACCTCTCCGACCAGTCATTGCATGTGTGAAACGGTCGGCGCCCAGACGTCGGGATGCTTGGTTCTTAGGAGCTCCGAGAACGCTATGAGCGAGCCAAACAGGGCCTCCAAGCGGATGCTGCCAACATCAAGCACTTCGGCTTCGGGGCTTCGGTGGGTCTTGGGGGCAAAGTTCGAGCCGCATGAAGACCATGGGGGGTTGGGGGGATAGAGCGTTTCATAGGAGAAGAACGTCGTCAAGTTTGATTTTCATTTGGCTCCTCAATGTTCTCTTCGATAGGGACCAGCTAGAGGACTGGAAGTCTGCTGCTCGAAGGAAGAGAAAGACTTCCATCATTTTCTGTCTATATAATGTGTTCAAGAGGACATTTGCTGTGGTGTTGACCTTGCAAGCCACCAAGAAAAGGGTTCCAAGCCTTACAAGACAGCAGTTTGGGTTTGGTTCAGAAGTTTGATTTTGGGAGGTGGATGGGACCTCTAGGGTTGAGAAGTGAGTGAAATAAAGAGGAGCTATGTCATTTTTGGGTTAAACAAAATAGGTTGTGAAGAATAGTTGTGGTCCATTTGCCTACCATTTCTTCCTCCAATCAGGGCCCAGGAAAAGGTCGTCGTGTTTGATGACCACTGGTCTGCAACGGTCCAAAGCCTGTTTGCTCCAAAGCACACCTGAGCACCACCAATTCATCACACATCATCATCGAACCACATTTGCATGTACATTTGCCAAATGTCTCTTTCCTGCTTCACTCACCCTTTGCTTTGGCCTTCGTCCATGTCACCCAGGCGGATGGAGTCCTCCACCACGAACTCTTTGCTCAAGCAGACCGATCTGGGCTTTTTGGGCCCCTTCGACCCAAGCCACCTGGCGACCGGGGACGAACTGGGATCATGAACCAGGGACAAGACGTGGGGGTCACTGAAGACGTAGCCGGCCTTGTGCGTCGAGTGATAGGTCCGGCACGGTTTCACCGTGCAGTTTGCTCATCAACCCGCCAGGCTTCGTAGACAAGTCAGGGTCTTCTTTGAGTTATTTGCGCAAAACAACAGGCCCTCAAGGACTTATGTAACCCTTTATGTAGATCCTTTAGTACATGACCAAAAGATACCAAAAGTACACATTGTGGATGGTGGTGATCACGTCAAATCCATGCGGTTTTGCTGTTGATTCATTTGAATGCCCATGTAGGAGAAACCTTAGTCATGAGTCCTTTAGTAACTGTAGATGTGAGGGGAGGTCAACATCCTTTGATACTGATTGCTAATAAGACATGCAATGAGCTGCCAATCGAACCAACCATGATAAAACTGCCATGCGTACGCACAACGCCTGCAGAAGGACTGACATGCAATGCCCACCCCACCCCGCTTGTACCACGGGGTGTTCGTTCTTTGTTTTCGACATTGGGTCAGGCGGGTACGGGTAGGCGCTCCCATTCACAAACGCTATGATCATGGCCCAATTCCTTAGGCAAACCCAAAGTAAGGCTTCGCATGGTGTGTTGGCGCATGGCATGGGGATGCTGTCCATCCCGTTTGACCCTACAACCTGACCGGTGTACACCGTGTAAACCGTTGTTTCGTCCAGTCTCTACAGTAGGGACCTCTTCAGAACCCCTTCGAGTTCTGCGCAATTTGGAGGTGTCAACGAGTTCTGCCTTTGGCATGGAACAGCCCGACTGGAAGGAGAGCTCCCAGTCATGCCAGATTCGAGCAGAATTTGAGAATGTAAGAGTGAATGTGATGGCTAAACAAAGATATGCTCACTGTCACCAGGGCATTGGGCCTACGTATGTCACTAGCAGTGGTTCCGCAATGGTTCCCTTGGTTATGTTCCTTTGGGTTGGAGTATTCTTGCCAACAATCTCCAAGAGCGGCAAGATGTACTTCCGTACCGAATGGAACCTCCAGCGTCCGGAGGGGATACCTATGTCCGGATGGGAAGGGTTTCAGGAGCTGGTGGAATCTGTGCCAATGGATTTGACGCTTGGCGTGTGAAATGAACATGGTTCGGAGGGAGGAGCTCATGTTTGTACACTCCCCACACACTTGTTCGAAGGATAAAGGATAGTACAGTTTTTGAGTCTACTATGATAGTTTACCGGTATAGTATATGATTATATATATATATGATGATTATGATGGCAATTGGCAAAGAAAGATTGGATAGGAACAGGGGCGGTTGATGCTTTCATTGGAAACCTCCAACTATGCATGATATGGATCCTAATCATAGGGGCTGCAAAAAGGGTGGATCAAGGAATAGCACCATGTTCCATCTTTGCTCCGCCGGTATTTTTCTTCGAGAAAGGGCGCCACTCCCTGAACTGCCAGGACCATCAGGTCATTGGGATGGTCCGCCGCACGCCAGTGCGGCCGCACGGCCGATCGTTCAAAGGACATTGCCTATGTGGGCTCTGCAGTGGGCACGGCCTGGGGTCATGGCTTCTACTTTGCAGACTCTGCCAGCACCAGCATGGGCTACACCGGCGGCGGTGTGCGGGTGACTGAAGTGCAGCTGGGCGGCCATGGAGGTGGAGGGATGGTCGGTGAGAGTGCAGTGGGTTGGAAGAAAGATCCGCTCAAAGAAGGAAAGGCAATGTTTTTTTGAGGTGTTTTGGAGGGTGAACTTGGTGTAGGACTTCTTCCATCAACAGTATCATTGGGGGGGTTGGTGATCATCCCAGTGTACCAGAGATTGTGGATGAGAGGTCCAGATCTCGTAAAATGAGGCCAGCCCCATTATGAAGCATATCATCAGAGATGGGTGGCGTCGGCCGCTGGTTACTGTCAAGTCACCGAAGCGTGCGTGTTCACCGATCATACTGTGGTTTTCTTTCATTGTCTTTCAAGATTTTGAGGTAGTGCTGGATCTTTTTCCTTCAAGAGTTAGTGGCATTGCAATGTGTGGTGTTTCCGCACGCGCCTGGCGCCTGAGGCATAGCCGGAGTCTTGGCCAGAAAGAAGGTGTTCTGGGTCGGAACTCAAGCCCTATAGATGTCCGGTGTCTCTTCACAATCAAAAGCAGTTCATTACGGTTGTTCTTCATTGTGGCTGGCCTGGAGTCGAAGTCGACACCACCATGTTGTCGGTCAGGGTGAAATGAAATGCTCTGAAGTATGTTCAAGCTTGATATGCCAGCATTTGCCCGAAGGGGGCCTCCACATCCCTTTACACTTAGACTTCGGGGGGAGTGGTTTCCCAACTAAACACGAACAGGTAGAAAGAGGTTGTACAACCTTGGTTTTAAGGGAAACTGACGGAGTCAGATTGAGTGTTTCCCTATGGATCCACGACATACCTTCTCAGAAGGTATGTGGGCTCTCCAAGCCTACATAAATAGTCTCCAATCACCTTCTCAGAAGGTATGTGGATCCATAGGGTTTGGCCTGTTTCAGACGTAAAAGTCCGTCTTGCTGGACCTCCCTTCGGACGACTCGGAGAGGGTGGGTTCGGGAAGATGATGTTCATCGGAACCACCACTCTTGTGGCCGTGTTCAACATCATGTTGGGTTTATTTTTTAATGATACGGCGACCACCGAGATCTACACCTGAAAAGGGCTCCATCCATCCACCTCAAAAGGTAGTTTGACCCTCCGAACCCACCCCAATGGCCCAGGGCCACCTTTTCAGGACGTATAGTTGTAGCCCTGGGGATTCATATGGATTAATCAATATTAAATTAATCATATTGTCAGCATGTTCCCATATTCTCCCCAGGATAATATTAAGACATTGCTTTTGGTATGCTTTTGGTCAGCTTCTTCGCTCCCCGACTTTTCCGTTCGGGTTTTGTGCGGAACATACCGTCGGCTGCAGGGTGAAGATCATGTTCCTTTGCCGTGTGAGGACCTCAGAGCTTTCCAAAAGAGTCAGACATTACGCCCTGGTTCGACCCACGTGGAACCTGAAAAAACTACGCCCGGCTCAGCGGAACATGGTCTTCCAGTCTGGTCCATGCCATCCGGTTCCATGTGAGTCTTCTTTTTTTCCGATCTAGTCCAAGGAATCACAAGAGCCAAGGGCACGGCAACTCAACAAACAGGCGGAGAGAACTCTCGCCAACTCGTATTGAATGGGAATGCTTTGAAATGCTTTGAACAAATAAATATCGAACCGTTTTTTCAGAAGCATGAACCGGGCACGGGCAAGATCCAAGGTTCTGTGCGGTCGCATCCGAGAACTCTCAACTGCTCCCAGCCAAGAGCAGAAGGAGGAGACAGAGTTACTCAGAACAAGAAGCTACTAGGAACAAGTGCCACGCTAGTAGTAACAGGTGCCTTACTAGTAGTAACTATCACTCGCAGCGGACGATCACCGTGAGACGGTGTCCGCTTTGTGCAGGACACACAGGTCTTTGCACAGACATTCCCCAAAAAGATCAGCATGCAGTCGACCACTTTAAAAGAGGGGAAGCTTCCAGGAGTCAAGGGTCCGCCCTGCTCCGGAAGCAAAAAGCCTAGCAAGTATGACTCTCTTGGCATCGTCAAACCAAGGAGCTGCGTTCACTATACATCCTTGAGGAAGGACTCTCCCGCAACATCTGGGTTTCGTGCTGTGAAAGTGTCCAGGATGGCTGTCAACTCCGTCATTGTTGGAAAGGTGCAGCAAGGTCTCACGTATCAGCTTGTAGACGTCGTGGTATGTGGTGAGTTCAAGGTCACGGTCAAGCTTGAACCCATCATCATGAAAAGCTATAGCTAGCTCATGAAAAGAAACAGACAGATCCTTGCCTGTACGCCAATGCAAGCTGCGCAGAAACCGGCAGCACATATGCCAGTCATGAGCGTTGCTGCTCCAGCCAGGGGGGCATGGAACCTTGTTGGGAATCTTCGGGCGCCATTTGAAGTCTTGCTTTCTGGTACCCCAAGGCCATTGTGGAAATCTGTTCTGGCAGTCGGTCTGAGAGATGCTATCCTGTTGAAAACCCTCTTCAACACAAGCCGCTCGATCAGGCTGGCAAGTGGGTAGCATGGCGTGGAGACTGGCTAGCCAGAGTTGATGACCTTTAATGGCTCGTGTGGCTTCCTTCTGCACATCCTCATACACACTGGCTGTTTGAAAAGCGCATTCCTTAGCAGCTGCATCGACCAAACGATTGTGCAACACGTGCTCAAGGGTGGTGCCACGAAAGCCAGCGAGTTCTTCGCTAAGCAATTCAACGGCTGCAGGGATGCCATCAAAGCAGTGAGCTGGGATCCAAATGATCCTGAACGGAGGGTCTCGCACAGCCTTTCTGATCTGTGTCAGCCTCTGTAAAAACAGCCACCACGAAAAGCAAGTCCAGCTGTCGTGCGGGGAACCTCCCTGAAAAATGCACTGAGCTTGTTCTACGACTGTGAGACAGTCACAATAGATTGTGGCGGGGAAGCAGGCCTGAGCGCAGGCAATGATAACCCCCCATAGTTCTGCAACATAGGCTGAGATGTTCCAATGAAACACTGGGCCACAGTGCCTTATCGTTCTTGTCTCATCCAACACTGCGCAAGCCGCACTTGTCAGCCAGAATGTGTCGGCATAACAAACGGAACCATCGGTCCAAAAACGTTCTTCATGGTCAGCACAAAAAGAGTTTGCTATTGTGATGTCCTCGATGTTCGAAAATCTGAGTCTTTGGCGGGCAACAGCTGTTGGGTGCGTCACATGCCCAAGAGCAGCAAAGTTGGCGCCAAATTCATGGAGCACCGGAGGCCCAATTAGCTCATGCACATGGCTGCATTCCAGCACATGCATCATACACTCTTTGGCTTGTCCGCAGAATCTGCAGGTGGCGGATGTCACCCAACCTGAGGCAGCGAGACGGTCGTTGGTGAGGGTGCAACCAACAAGTATATTCTCGATGCGAAATTCAAGTTCATGGTTCGAAGTTTGGTTTTTCCTGACTTGCCGCAACAGTTTGGTAGTTTGCTGGAAATCGAAGACCCCGGAAGGTTTGAGGAAATCTTTGCGGGATCTGGGGTCAATCGAGCAATAGCAGGCATGTCTGGCGATATTCTGAAGCGCTTTAGACAAACACTTGGGCGACAGTTCAGTGAACCGAACTGGGGACCCCCCACAAAACGCGATGCGAAGTTCGGGGTCATGTTGAATATCAAGCGTATCAAACGCCCTTTGAAGTGTACTGGCCAGGCAGTGGTTACCAACTGGATTTTTCCAAGTAATCATGAGTTGTTGGGCAGCACGGTCGGAGTGCCTGCACAATCTAGCCACCTCAATGATTGTGTTGTATGCATCCGCATATTGAGGATCGGTGCGGTGCGGCTTGGAAAGAACACATTGGAGTAACTGTTTAGATCTCCACATGGGTTGGCCAACCCACAATGCCTTGGCAATAGCGTTCCGGAGGGCCTTGTAGGCTTGTTGCGGGATTTTGGAACAATGAGCCCCAAAAGTGATTTGGGGGATGACCTTTGAACCAACCAGAAAGCAACGAATGGATCTGCTCACCGGCAAAGCCGCAATGTTGTCGACGTCAGCTAATATTTTCCGTAACTTGGAGTCAGGAAATCCGAAATGCGATCTCTCCGAAGTGTAAATTTTTTTCCCCAAAACATCAAGTTCAAGCACAATCGGAAACCCCGGAAAAGCACTTTTGATTTGCTTGCGGGCATTGGAATCCGTTCCCCAAAGCGAGGATTTCCCCTCATTGAGTTTTTGGCCGCTAAGCAGGTCCCAGACCTTTGTGGCTTCAATGGCCTTCTGAAGAAGGTGGACATTGCAAATCTTGCACCACAAATACGAGTCGTCAATGTAAGCCCTAACGAAAATTTCGGGGAGATGGTCAAGAAGATGACACCAAACCTTAGTGTAGGCGTTCATAGCTAACAAAGAGAGTGAACAGCCTTGGCACACCCCGTTAGGGGCAGTCGTTGAGACTGGAGCAGTCCAATTTCTATAGGACAGGTGTCTATGGAGCCCATCATAAATTTTCACAAAGAAAGAGACGAAGCCCGTAGGGAGGCCGAATGCAAGAAAGAGTGCCGCCACGAAGTGTGGGATGATTCTGTCGAAGGCCTTGGCTTTGTCAATTTTGATGCCAATGATTGCATCACCTTGGTGCTTGGCTACATCTATATCAAGTCTTAGTTGGTTGAACAGGTCGGACATGTGTCTACCTTTGATACCACCAAGAATGCTGGCAGGCATAATGGCTTTTTGCCAGTCTTGCAATTGAGCAAATCTGGCACCAGTGTATGCCAGGAGCAACGCTGGCAGGATAGTGATGAGCCTTTTGTTAAGTGGTGCAGCGGGACCTGGTTTATTAAGTATAACCTGCTTGGCGCAGACAAGCGACTTCGGAAGAGGCAGGTTGGAGGACTCAATGGCGTCAAAGAAATCAGCGCAAGGTTGGAGCTCCGAAGCGGACAGCCGCTGCAGTTCAGTTGTACGCCATCCGTCTAAGCCAGGGGCGGCTACAGCTTTTCGCTTCTGAATAATGTTGAACAAGTCAAGACCGGATATCTTGGGGAGCTCAACTTCAAGCTGTTGGTCATGAATGTAGGGCCATATGGTGTCGAGCATCTTGAGAGGATGATGCCGAAGGACGTTTGCACTGTAGACTTGGTCCCATTCACTATTGAGGTACGAGAGGGCTTGATCCGGTTGATAAA